TTACTCAGTGAAAATATCTACATTATATACAGTCCAGTCAGCCAAATTAATAGAATGTAAATAATTAGTGTTTAGTCTATTTATTTTGTCTCAATTCAGATATTTTGTTCTGAATGAAATGCGGTGTAGAAGAGGCTCAAGAAGAGCCTTACTGTGGGAATCTGGCATTTATAGTTTAGCAAAGGTTCAGTAGCTGAGAAATGYTTTACTAATAGCTGAAATCATGTGCTGACCCTTATTTCACATTAAAATGACCGGAATTTGACACTAAGATGACAGCTGGTTAATACAACTTGAGATTTTAAAGTGCTTGAGTATATRTAAATATTTTGACTGATCTCCTAAGTGTGTTGGAAGATACTTTTAGAAATGTCCTTCTTGTAGCARTTTACTGCAGTCCCCATTTTTTGAGAATAATATTGCAGAAGATAAACTATCTTCTGTTTTCAGAGGACATAGATAGAATAATTAGGAACATGTAACTGACTCCTGTAAAAAAAGAGGTTGTATGCATTTTGTGCTGGTGCCTAACCATATTGTAAGAAATGCTGAGTATAAAACCAGAGATTTTAGATTTTTCTAGTTTGATCACTTAAGAAGATAATGCTTGACAAGTAAACTACTTTGTCTGGTTTTTGTATATAAATACATGTATCATTCCTTAGAATATCCAGTAAATACATTAATAACTTATTAGTTGAGCTAATTCAATGACTGGGAACGTAAGGGACAAACTTAGGGGTTGAAAGCTGTTCAGCAAGAGCATTGTATCTTGGAATTCATTGAAGCTTCAAAAGCTAAAATTTTGTTAAACTTAAAAGTGCTTAAGGCTTTTTAGATTTGAAGTAGTTGGAGCATTTTCAAGCTTTTTTACTGCAAAACATTTTACAAAAWGCTTTATGCAGTCTTATATCCTTCATGTGTTGCATAATGGTTTATTCTGTTGAAAAATACACAGAATTGTACAGAAGGTTTGTTTGTTTTTTTTTTTTTTTGACAGAAATAGATTAAAGATTTAGAAGTATTAATCCAAAATTGGGTGTGACCATTAAAGTAGGATTGGAAAAGGAGACAGGGAGTATTAAGGAGGCAAAACATCAGGCTTTTCCACCATCTGAAAAATCCTGTGGGGAATAATGAGAGCTGGAAGGAATGAAGCTTTTTTTCCTGGAAATWTGCATCTCATAGGTTGATTGCAGGTTCCAACCAAAGTTTTCTCTGCTGTGGGGCATTTTATAGGGTGTTGTATCTATGACATAGATTATGGGTCTGTTGAAATAGATGCTTATTTGGGCTGCTTTTATGCATCTTTTGCTGGGGCTGGTTTTCAGGGGATCCATTCTCTGAATTGCCCCAACTGAGAGCAGCATTGGTTTTCCCAAGTACTGTTGGTTGTATGCTACCTCTGTTCATGAAATTTATCAGAAACTTGCTGTCTTTTCCAGCATATCATACCTGATTTTTAGAAGAATTTGTATTTKCAAGTCCATCCACTGATGGGTTTTACAGGATGAGAAAATAAAAAAAGATCAAGAGGCAGTGGAGAGATAAAACATACATGGGAAACCAGAAATGGCCAAGCTGTTGTAGCAAGGAATGTATCTTGATTGGGCTACACCTTGTATTATTTACATGGATGTCTGTCACTACATCCCTGCTAAGTGGCATGGCAGTGGTAGTCATGGGGTGCTAGTGTGCTTTGGGATTCTTGAGATTCCTCTCCATCCTTCAGATTTGGATCCAATTTGCCATTGGACCCAAAATTTGGGAATCTGCAAATGTGCAGAAGAGTCATGGGCACACAGGATGAATAATTATATRTGCATGTACATGTATACACAGGGGATGATGGTTTGTTTGTTTGTAAGATATTTAGGCTGTAAATGAGTAAGACTTAAAGTAGGCTAGAAGATGGAGTCATAAAATGAAAAGACAGGATAAGATTGTGTGAAGAACGGTGCAGATTAACTAAAGAAAAGCACTTTGTAACTAATTATTTATTATTTAGATTCAGTGTAGATTTAAATCTATAAACACAGAATCTGAAGGAAGGGTCCGGGTCCTGTATCAGAGCCTAGTCACCTAGAAGGGAGCAGATTTACTAGTCTTAGTGCCTGAAGTTTTTCCATCTAGGTCATATATTTGGGGGTTGATAAAAACAGTGGAATTCCAGTGGTGTAATCCCCARTTCTCATTGGTTTTAAATGCCCAGCCACCTGGAGAATTTGTAGTTCTCAGGCTGTGTCCCCWGGCACTGTAAGGGAAAATGTACTTTGAAATGTGAACTTTTGATCAAATTCTTGAGTCAAAATAAGTATCATGATACTCAGTTTGGTGATTACACCAGACATGAATATTTTACCCATGGATGAACAGGAACAGGATATAGATGCATTGAAAGGAAGGTTTCCAGTCAAAAGGTTATTGCCCCTGTTTGCAGTGTATCAGTTTTATGCCACTCTGAGGCACAGAAGCTGACAGAGTGTGGTGGTGAGTTCATCAGCTTGAAGTGAAGCAACTTGGTCAAGAGATTCACTGATAGCAGATGAGACAATACCTCTGTCTTGAATGGAGGAATGGAGCTCTAATAACAAAAAATGGTCATGTAAAGTTTCTGGGAAAGGAGATCAAGTGCTTCAATTTAACTGAGAATCTCAGCAATTTGAGACTGCAGCCTGATACTCTCTACAAGTATGACAAATTGTTTGTGTCATTGTAGATCAAGATAAGTCTTCAGGAAAGGAGGGAGAGCGTCTGTACAGATATTTAAGCAAGCAGTGCAAAGTAAGCATAAAATACAGCACGAGGAGATATTTTTATATGAAATTTTCTTGCCACGGTTGATCYAAGGAGATCATAATTTAATTAATAGAAGGCAGGTCTGGTCACCGTGACAAGTTCACAGCTACTTGGTTCTACTTCACCATCCATTGCCTTCTTTGGTTTAGTGGAGAAATGTAATAAGAATCAGGGCGCTCGGTTGAGGTGAGATGTAGTTTACAGTTTAAACTCTTGTGCTGTTTACAGAAYTAACAAAATGATTGTGGCTTATAATCAGTGATTTAAGATTTGCTTTATCTTCTCTGCCTGAGGCCTAGCTGGGAATTTTAGATAGATAAAAATTAAATTTGGCGTGAAGTTGCTTCCATCTTATTTATATTTACATAAAAAATAATCATAGCATAGAACTTAATACTGTTGCAGCTGGGCTATCGGTGTAACTTTGCTCTGCAGTTCAAGGGATAGCTGTAGTACGTGCAAAGACACATCTGCTGTTACAGTAGCTTGTGCTCAGAAAATTCTCAAAGACCAGCAGCAGCAAGCAGCAGTAGAAGGTTATCTTAGCCTTGAGGTGTGAGCAGTTGTTGCTCTTGCTTGGATTGTTTTGCTGTCAATACTGAGAACTACTTTGTTGTGGGAGCCAAGATCCATTCAGTGAAAGCAGGCAAGTGAAGAGCTTTCTTTAAGAGCTTTCAGGAAGTTTAGATTGATGTTGGAGCAAAATCTGGTATCCTTAATGAGCAGTTCAGCTGCCAAGCAGGAAGTGACCCATATGACAATCCACAGATAATTTAACTAGCTTTACAGACCTATATTTTCAACATGACTTTACCATATCCACCCTCCTTCCTCAGCAACCTAAATAAACAAGCTAGGCACATAATTCAGTAAAATCACAGAAGCTGATTTTGTTACTGACTGACAGTTCTGCTTGAATGAGTGCACAGGTAAGATGTGTAGGGCTGAAACCTCACTGGATCATTTAAAATTGTGTAATACAAGGGATTCTTTCATATTCTATCCACCACCGCTTTTTTTTTTTTTTGTCCTACGCAGTGAGCAGGGAGGTGGTTAATTGTGGTGCTGCTTCTTTTGAAGGCATTTTTTCCCCTTTACTGTCAAACATCATGGTCTTTTTTTGGGAAGTAATTTCTAATGAGCATGAATAYGGCAAGGCTCTGTAATCTCTGCTACCGCTGTTATGTGTCCACATTGACAAGGCACTGAATCCAAGCTAGAACAGCCTTCTGTGGAGTAGAAGTTATCACTATTGCCTTTAATGTCTCAGTTAAATGGCTTTTAGTTTGTTTGGAGCACAAACAGAGGGAATTCACACTGGCAGAAAGCATGAAGCCCGTTTTAGCCAGAATTAATTTGGCTAAATATTCTAGGTGGGCAGCTTTCCACAGCACTTGTTTTTAAGAGACTGTTTAAAACAATAATTGATTCGCTGATTCAATATATGYACTTTACTGTTTCTTTCCCCTGCAATACTGCATGTGACAACATATTCCTGTTGTCTATGCYAGAAAGAAGGGTAAGAAGCTGTGCTCAGGATGAGGAGAGCTGAACTGTTTCTTGCAGAAATACTGAGCTGGGCAGATAGGTTAAATGATCATAGAGCCTGGCAATCTGATACTACAGTGCTGACTTACCACAGATCTGGGCTCCTGCTGGTGCCTTAAGCCCCTAAATTGCCTATGTGTCACAGAGAGAGAATGGGATCTGCAGTAGCCAGCATCTTAAAAGAGCAGAGTTTGTTTAAGTGCTGAAGAAGTTAATCTGGACAAGCAAAGTAATATTAAACAAATATTAAAGGAAACCATGGTCATCAGAATTGCTTATCTGCTCTCTTTGAAAGTAAATAAAACAATGACAAAAAAGTAAAGCTAAATTCTTTTTTTATCAGATGCATTACCTCACTGATATTCATTGGCATTGATACACAAAATACTCAGAAGATTCCAAAGATTCAGTTCATATTTTACCTATTTATTTTTTTTTTGGCTTAAAATTCACAGTTTTGCCTTTTAACTTGTATACAATGTTCTGTTTTGTTAGTTTATGAGAAGGTGTGTAATTTTCTAGACACTTCCCTGCACTTATTAAAAATGTGTTAAAGCATCAACTCAAGTTATGATAAGCTTGAGCTTGAGCGAGCTCTGATGTTTCGAATATGGCTTTAACCATTCTTTCATGCATTTAATTTCCTTTTCCAGCCCCTGGCCTCACTGGAATTGTTGGAGGGCGCCCCAGAGTGTAAGTTAACTCCTGATCATTAACTTGTTATAATGTGTAATGATTATGTTCATACCAGTCACCATCACAAGCTTCCCCAGCTTGGGATAGCAACTACAGAAGCAGCTAAACCTTCCTGTGTCACACTGTCCTTACTAACTGAAAACAAGATAATAGTGAGTGCTATAAGATATGCATGCAAATAGTAAATTCTTTATTGAATTAAATGTGAGTTATGTAAGTTGCTGATCAGCTCATAGCACTGTCTTTGCTTAAATAAGCTGCAGGGAAAACTTGAAATGTGACTTTATGGCAAGGCAGTAGCTCRACTGTGTAAATACATGTAGATTTCTGGACTAGTTTTCACTAGTAGCTATTAGTTTGGAATATGGGCCCACTGAATTTACATCTGTATGAGCTCACTTCACCTAGAAACGTAAGGTCAAATGTTAGAACATCCCACAAAATGTTAGCATGAAACCATTTCATGACTGAACTGAATGTAATAATGTTGAGCATATTAAAAAAAATATATCCTGGCTTGATTCAGTTTTTTTCTAGATATGACTAAAATCTAGTGGTGATTTATGTCATCACCTTTACATGTTTATTCATCTAAAAATTTCCTGTCATTAAGCCCATGAAGATGGGAGAAGAACCTGTGGCTGTATTTCCAGTAGCCTGGTGTAACCAGTGTAGGTATCAATGTGCGGCTACTGACAGTGTAGGAGACTTCAGTGTCCTGAAGCACATCCTTGGTCAAGAAAACATTTTTGCTATTTTGGCTACCTCTCCTCAGTAAAATTTTCTTGGATTTTTTAACAAAATTTTCTATTCTTAATAATGGAATTTAAGCAGTTTTTACACTTCTCAGGCTTTCCATAGTTGTTTGAAAAACCATTGCTAGTCATGGCTGATTGGCTTTAATTTCCCAAGTTCGGTGTATGAATAGTCAAAAGATGTATSATCTACCAGTTTCATTAACTTCTGGTTAAATGCATTTCTGCTTGTTGTTTTGTGTGTCTAGGTCTCCGGTCTTGAAGCCATTTTTCTTCTATTATCCCAAAAGCAATGTTCAGGTAAGACTTACTGCTTAAAGTCTGTGTTCTCTTTTCTTAGAAGTAATTTGAAAAATTCTGCTGATTCTGGCATTTTCTGGTGATTTTGAGTTAGACTTCGATTAAAAAATATTTCCTCAGAGGCTATCTGAGGAAATTGCTACTCTGTTATTCACACAGAMTGTTTTGCAACAGTTGAACTTGCCAATCTTCCATTTTAATTGCAGCTAATTTTGAAGTATTTTGYATCAAAACTGAACTTCTCTTTTCAGATTCCTGGAATTACAGGTTTGAATTATTTTTGCTGCATTTGCAAAGAGTGCTTAAGAAAATTGTAGACTTTTTAGAAGGTTAATGAAGCCTCTTTAAAGAGTCGGCAGTTGGGTGTTCAGAGAGTGAAACATTAATCTTGTGAACTTGGGCGCATCATCTGAGTTTTTTGGGAGTGATATATTTAGTGTATACTACTAGGAACAAATACTAAAATCAGTGAATTTCCTCTGATTCAACAGGTTTTACCTTAACAGACATTTGGGCTTTTTGCTTCCATATACCCTGTGTGTAAAAACAGAAGTAGTAATTTCTGTTCTTGCCTGTATTGCAAAAACTGTAAAATTATGAAAACCTGTGCAACTATTGTGCTGACTATCATGGAAGACCCTGTGACTCTGTGCCCCTGTTTGGTTCATAGCAATAGTTTCTTTCAGTCCAAAAACGTACAGTTCACATGTTCAGGCAGCCCTAGGTGAGAAGTTACAATGTAAGATGATGACATGTTGATCTAGAGCTCCACTTTTCTGTGATACATATACCCATCTACTTTAAAGCTTTCATGATAAACTTGAAGAAACTGGTTTTGCYGAAACCGTAAAATATTTGGATTTATAAGCATTGTTCTCTGCTCTTCTTAGTGCCATCAGATATCTAATTTATCCTTTGGAGACTGCACATATGCCCTTCTTTTTCCACAGTCTTCAAGTAAGTTGTAATTATTGCATCCCTCTGATGCCAAGACATCGTAATACTCAGTGAGAGCCTTCACACCCATCCACTGTCAAGAGAGTGGCCAAAGGCCAGAGTGTTGGTCTTCGTTAGGCCACAGGTATTGTGACAGGCTTCTGCTTAGGGTGGCAAAGGGAAACTTAGGGAGCACAGGCAGCAAGTGAAAAGGTGGGCAAGGGGGAACAAACAAAACTGAATCAGAAAGGGACTGGTTTGTTTTCATTCATTAACACTTAYACAGTGATTAGCACAACCAAACCCTATTCTTTAAGTAGTATTCTTCATTAATGGAAGATACTTCAATTTCACAACTTCACAGAGAAGAGCTATTTAGTTATTAAATCTAACTTAATAATAAACTGCACAGTGGAAGAGCATTTTTAAAAGTCCCACCTTTCTTGTTGTCTAAAGAAGTTGAAGTACTTACTTTGGTCATCACTTACATTTTGCTTTATACAAATGGTTTGTCTTTGCCAAGTTCAGTGTGAAATTATTATCTTTATGGAAGTTAGCCTACCACTGTGTGGTTYATTAAATTCAATATTAACTTCCTGATTAGCACTGTGTTCCAGATTTGGTAAAAATGCTGTTAAGATTAAATTGTAGCCCAGGTGGTTTTCTTAAGGAAAGAAAGCAGTGTCTCCTTTACTCTTTCCAATACAGAAAATCAAAGTCCTTGCCATGTGTAACTAATCTGATGAGTGCACTGATACCCTGTCAGCAGAATGCAATGTGTTCTATCACGTTTTCCTGCAGTAAAATTGAGGGTCAAAATGTGGTGTGATTCAAGTCCCTGATACAAAATGTTAGCCATGTATGAAAAACTATTGTCCAGTAAGAGATTACAGAGTAAGTAAGGTATGAATTAACGGATTTTCTAAATTAGAAGTTCAGTTCAGTTACCAAGAGTCTAGTTGCTCTAGGTCAGTATTTGACCTAAAACTAAAAAAAAAATCCGTAAGCAGATTTTGAGTTATGTTAATATTACCACAGTGGGTTCTTTTGTTTTGTGTTTGGTAACACCTTTCTGGGTGTCAGACGATTCAGTGTTTCATTTGCACTGCTTTTATGCAATTGTACCAWTTTTGTCATAGATCACCAGTGGTTTTACAGTTCAAATAGTAGTTATTTTCCATGTGTGCTTTGAAGGTAACCTAAAACTTTCATGTAGGGAGCAATTGCAGCAAACCTGCTGAAGGCAAGTCATTCTTTAAGGGCAATCTTAAGAAAGAGTGCTGAGTTGTCCTGCATTTGCTGACAACTGACCACTGATAACTGCTGCAGCTAAGYTGGTTCATGTTGTTTTGTTCTGAAAGTTTAACCTGATGGTATCTTAATCTTTCATACTGGGAGTCCTCCAGTACAGATGAAATGAATGCCACTCGCTTCTATCCCACTTGCTCATGTCCTATCAGTGATCCCACGGGTAAAACTGAAGGGTACCGTGCTCTGTGTACTTTCTACATCCTCCCTCTTGGTCAAAAAGATCCTTTTGTATCTCAAAAAGTGAGATACTGCTCCATATATATGGCAGCCAGACATGTTTTCTTTTTTTTTCATGTTGGAGGTATTGAGCCACTTGATCCACTGCTGCTGCCTCTTGTCTCTCCAGGTCATTGCTGCCAGTCRTTGGCACACAGCAATGATGTGCTATATACAATTTGCTGCCCTGTGGGTCACGGGAAGCGGGCTTCAGCTGGATCTGTGGTAGCTGCACATTAGTCAGGTCATAATAAATCCTCTCTAGCATGGCTAATTCTTTCAAGACCTGGATACCTCCCTACAGTGTTGTCCTCTTATCTGGGTGACATACAACATTTTCCTTGAAGGGATACTGTTGGGGATGGATACCTTTCCTTTAAACTTAATAGGAGTCATCTTCAGAGGCTGAGGACCTGGGCCCCTTTCTTAAATCCAGTTGTCAATGTCCCCTTCCCTAGAAAGTGATCACAGCTGCTTGGCTTCCCTACCTTCTTAATTACAGGCTGCTAGCTCCATTATCCCAGCATCATAGCAAMCAGGTGATAATGTGCTGATCTGAAAGAGAGGTGAAATATTTTTGCATATCCCACAGCTGATTCAACAATAGGTATCTTGTTCTGCCTCTCTGTGCTGCTCTTGTGATGGTCCTGCTTCATCCTCCTCTACAAGCTGAGTTTTGTGTCCATTTCTTGTGTACAGGAGTGTATTAGGAGGGGTTAGTCCTCTTTCTGGGTTGGAGTAGCTGCCGGGCTTTTGCTTTATCATCGGATCCAGAGACTTTCTTTTCCCCTTGAGAAGAACAGTGCCAAACAGAGCTTGCTAGGCCTGGGCCAGCACATGGCAGAGATTGGTGTCTCTCTGGAATTGCCATGGTGATCGCTTACTTTCTCCAAATATTTTGCTAGTTTTTCTGGATTTTGCACTTGTTCAAGGGTGGAGTTCCAAAATGCAAGCTACTCACAGTCCTAGGCACTTGCCCATACCACCCCATGCACCATGCCACATTCAAGTGTCCAGCCTCAGGGCAGATCATACAATTATAAAATGTTAAAGATCATCTAGTACCAACCCTTACTGTGATGGGCAGGGATACCTCCCACTAGACCAGGTTGCTCAAAGTCTTAACCAAGCTGGCTTTGAACATCTCCAGGGATGGGGCATTGCTAAACTTCCCTGGACAGTTTGTTGCAGTGTCTCACCGCCTTCACAGTGAAAAATTTCCTCCTAATATCTAACCTAAATTTCCCGTCTTTCCATTTGTACCCATTACTCTTATTCTATCACTACAGTTCCYGATGAAGAGTTCCTTTCTGGCATCCCTGTTGGCCCCATTGAGATACTGGAAGGTTGCTGTGAAATCTTCATGGAACCCTCTCTGCTCCAGGCTGTACAGCCCCAAATACCTTAGTCAGTCTTCATAGGGGAGGTKCTCCTGTCCTCTTACTAACTTTATTGTCTCCTCTGGACTTGCTCCAGCAGTTCCATCTCCTTCTTATTTTGGGGAYACCAGCACTGTATACAATGCTCCAGGTGGGATCTCACAATACTAGAGTAGAGGGGGAGAATCACCTCCTTCAATCTGCTGGACACAGTCCTTGCGATGCAGGTTAGTATTTGATTGACTTTCAGGGCTGTGAGTACACATTGATGGGTCCTGTTGAATTTTCCTTCAACCATCACTCCCCAAGTCTTTCTCTGCCTGGATAGTATTCTTTAAACTTTAAACAAGACCTGGAACACATTCAGAAGACATGAGCCAGTGTGTGCCCAAGTGGCCAAGAAGACCAGTAGCATCCTGGCCTGTATCAGGAATAGTGTGGCCAGCAGGACCAGGGTAGTGGTCATCCCTCTGTATTCAGCTCTGGTGAGGCCACATCATGAGTCATATGTCCAGTTCTGGGCCCCTCAATTTAGGAGGGACTTTGAGGTGCTGGATCATGTCCAGAGAAGGCAACAAGGCTGGTGAAGGGTCTGCAGCACGAGTCTCCTGAGGAGCAGCTGAAGGAGCTGTGGTTGTTTAGCCTGGAGAAAAGGAGGTTCAGGGGAGACCTTATCACACACTACAACTGCCTGAGAGCAGGTGTTTGAGGAAAGACTGGATGTGGCACTTAGGTCTAGTTGACATTGTGGTGTTGGGTCATGGGTTAGACTCAATGATCTCAGAGGTCTTTCCCAACCTAATTGATTCTGTGACGACATAATGATAGGAACGTGCTAGTTTGAGCATGCCAGGATATTAAAARTCCTCACCATCTATTGTAATTAGTCTGGACGATAGGGGGAAGATGAAGGGGAGTGTGTCCCCTCTGTGGACTGAGTTTGCAAAGAGAAAAGGTAAAAGCTATAATTATCAATAATTTGTCGTAGAAGACTCCCAAGTACAGGAATGACAGCAATGCTGAGTGCAAATCSAGATTAGTTTCACAACCAGCAATTATATCGTATCATTAGCCAATGTTACAAAGTACAGCTTGATAACCTCAGCCTGGTTTCCATGCATGATAAACATCATAACTGGGAACACATACTGCAARTAAGGTGTTACATAATTGAACTTGAGGAACAAACACATCAACTTTGATAGCAAACTAATCATTGTGACCAGTGATTATTAAATTAATGCAATGAGTGCTTGTAAGAAATTTGTTCTAACATGTTCTAGTCAGATTTGTTGYTATCTCAACCCATTAAGACACATACTGGGCATGAAAAAGGACTGCCATGGTTTATTCCCAGCTGGCAACTAAGTGCCACTCGGTCACTCTCACCACTCCTCTCCCCAGTGTAACAGGGAGAAGAATTGGAAAAAGGGTAAAAAATAAACCCTTTGAATTAAGAACAGTTTAATAATTGAAAAAAAAAAAGTAGTTGTTGGTGTCATTAAAAGGGAGATAACAAAAAAGAAAGAGGGGAAGGAAACCAAAGAGAGACAAGCGATGCACAAGTGTGTTTCTCTACCCACTGACCAATGCCCAGCCTGGGTCCAGCAGTGATCAGCAGCTCCCAGCCAACTCCCCACTGTGCCCGTTTATATACTGGGCATGATGCTCTCTGGCACAGAATATCCCTTTGGCCAGGTCAGGTCAGTTGTCCTGGCCATGCTCTCTCCCAGCTCCTTGTGCTCCTGCTTGCTGGCAGAGCATGGGAAACTGTAGTCCTTGATGTCGAGTCTACTCTAAGTGTTGCTACTGAGCAACAACCAAACCCAAAATTCCAATATTGATAGATGTTTTTAGCAGGTTTCACAAAATGTATTTGGAGATGAATACAGGATGCAACGTTTGTCTTTAATACGAACAGCAACATCAAGAAGAAAAGGAGGTTGTATCATGGAAGTGATGGAAATGTTCAAGTTTTGGGATTCAACTGTCAAGAGTTGTGACACAAAATTCTATGTAGTGTTGCACTATATAGAGTGAGATGGAAAGAGAGTCATCCTCCTTGAAAAAATGCTAAAGTGGACAGAGCATTTCTTAGGGGTTTTTATAGCTTTTTTCCCATAAACAAAGATTTCTTTTAGGTTTATTATAAATTATTATTGCATTGTGACCTTTAAAAGGAGCAATAGATTCCTTATCTGTAAAGTTCTTAYTGGAAGTATGCTAGATCTATATTTAATTAGAAATGTGCTTTATTTATTCACATTGCAGTGGATTTCTGATTTGACTGTTTGACTATGTTCTTTGTACAGATCAACCTGTTTTTGAATGGGCAGCATGTTGAGGTATTTGAGGAGGATCTCGCGTTTACATCAGATGAAGTGGTTTCATTTGATCTGCCTGAGATTAGCAGTGAATTGAAAGGTATGTTCATCTTTGTGTTTGTGAGTGGATCATTTGCTGTCTTCATCTTGGTAAATCACATTAGATTTTGTCTGTGAAATATGTTTTGCCTCTTTATATGATGTATTTTTATGGCTGGTGCAAAACACTTAAACTGTTCTCTTGGAAGGTGCTTAGTGTTATCCAGTATAAAATGTATCTGAGACTATAACAAGTATGTAAGTAAATTTTTATTAAAAMCCCTAAGATTTAAACACAACTGAAGACCATGCAAAGTTGGCATTAAAATCAATTGAAACGTGGTTTCAAAGTATACTGTAATTTTACTTCTTGTGAATCCTGGAAATAGCTGGGTTTATCTTACACCCCAAATAGTGTTCAGAATAGAGGACAGACATACAGAATGACTTACAGACTTACAGCATTTAGATAATTAAAATGTGTTCCTGTTCTATGTGGCAGCCTTCACAAAATTAAAAAGAATGGGATCAGCCTGGATCTGGTGACTTTAAAAGAAACCATACTAGGTTAATTGTCCAGTGTGATAATTCCTGTGTTGATGCTAGACTTGCCTAACCAAATTCTCTGAGAAAGAAAAGAAGAACCTTGAGAAGGACAAACCAGTGAGCTCARTGCAGCAGGTGAGGATGTCTGCAGTGAAAAGAAAGTGTTAAATCAGAGTTGCTCATACAAGCAATTACTGAAAGTGCTGGACACATGAAAATTTTTGTTCTTTCTAATGGCAGAACTATATATAGTATTTGTTAATGTATAGCATACTGCATAATTCCCTTTTGGTCAAACWGTCTTCATTTTCTGCTAACCAGAGAACTGAGAGAATTAATTTAAAGCTGTGGATAGGTATTTGTAAATCTAAATCAGGTGACTCTACCTAAAGATTACTAGTTAGAAAAATTTCTAAAAATAATACTCATGTTGAAAAAGTAATTCAGGTATTTAAGTCTGTGTACACTTGAAAAATAAATGCTATAAAGGCACTTAGATATTARGGTTTCTTCTGTGTTCCAGATAAAGAGAGTAGTGTTTGTCAAAACTAGTAATAGAATAGTGTAACAACTAACATGAGTTAGTGGGGAATGTTCTGTGTTACACAGAGAAATTTTAGAATATGCACCTGACTGTGTGTTTATCACCATTTGAAAGCCACCGATGGTGGATTGTCATGCATGGGTTTCTTTTCCCCATCTATTCAAAGATCTCTTCAGTACAATGATTTGTGCTGTGCAGAAACAAGTTAAAACTCCTAAGTATGGTTTCAGCTCTTCTGTGTGTTGGAAATCTGCTGTCACACCAGCATCTCGGATCCCTGGGAGTTCTCAGGAGGGCAGTGGGATATTTGCACCATCAGACTGGGCAAGTTAAAGAATAGGAAGTCATTGTTCTGCTTAATAAAAGGGTTAGCAAAGGTCCTGGGCTTGGGGTTTTTTTCAACGTGACTGTAGTGCTAAATATTGGAGAAGCAAAAAGCTGTTGGACTCCCTACTGCCTTTTTATAATTTGAGAAAACTTCCTGAAGTGCCTGACATCAGCATTTAATTACTGAATTCTTCAGGCTTTTTTTAGGCAAAACCCCACTTTTGAAAGACAGCAGAACTTCTCTGGTTGTTTCCCCTGAGAAGGATCTCTAAACTTTTGCCCTTTGTTGTAAATATAAATGTTTTCTGTATGTGACTAAATACATACCTACTTCTGTGGCTTAATGTAGGACAGCATGGATGAGAAAGACAAATGGGTTACACTGTAAAAGGAACAGCTTCTGCTAAAGCATTTTCTGTCAGCATTTAGAAAGGAGGAAAGTATTTTTCTTACTTTCCTGGTTATCTCAAGTGTGAGGGACTGTTATTTGTCGTTGAATAGATAAGAGAAATATGTGAAAATGGATTTAAAATATGCTGCTAGATATGGTTCTGGGAGGGTGGAATTTGGATTTACCATTTTCCCTAGCTTTGAAGGGAATTCTTCCGTAGATTTGTTTAAGATGTTTAYTAAATGAAAACAATTTCCTGATAAACAGATCATGAAAGATAAATCAATTAGGGTAATAATAAATGAGAACACCAGATCACTCACTTTAACTGTTTTTTTTAAAGGAAGATTGTCAGAGACTGGCTGTGTAAAATGTCTAATGGAGAAAAGGTTTCTACAATTTAGATATTRTCAAATTTCAGCATTTGAAGAAGCACGTTTTGTCTTGAATTGTATATTGAATGAAATCATTAAAATTAATGTGATTTYTGTACTGTATGAAGTGTTTCTACCAGTGAGGGGCCATTGTGCCAGACTAAACTTTCATCACTGTTTCATATTGCCTTTCACACTGACCCAATACATATTGTAAAACTTTAGGWCTTAATTAGAGCAGTTGAATGCAGATAGATTGTTGTTCAGGTAGATTGTGGGTAGATTTTCTGGTCCAGCTGTGCCAGTAGAAGAGGTTGCTGTGGTGAACCCCTAGCCTTTGTTTTCCTTGTTATTGCCACTCTCAGGTGCCAACAAAGCTCCTCCTGTGAGTGTTGCCTGCTCTGTCTCAACCAAATAAATACTGTGAGCTAAGATACACTTCATCAATTATGTGTCATGTCTTACTAAGGTGTTTTTGTTATCCACTGTATCTCCCATCCCATACCCAAATGGACTTCAGGGATCTGTCCAGCTGCCACTGACAGGCTTTCAGCCTCCCTTTCTGACGGGGTCAGTGAAAAATGCAGCCAGTAGGATTTGGACATTAGTTTCTCTCTTACCCAGATCAGCYTGGCTCATGTCTGAGTTAGCAATTTTCTGTGGGCAGGAAGGGGTTGAAGGTAATGATGGTTTGGCGAGGGCTGGGTTTACCTGATTTCCTGATGCAGTTGACAGAACATTTATCTACTCATGCCTTCATGGTAGGTGCACTGTGCTCTAAATGAAGCCTATGGCCAGCATTTGGAGTATAACATCTTTAATACTGGGTCTCTTGCTCCCTAACATTAAAAAAAAATTAAAAGGGAAAAAAGCCCCAAATAGTTTCGTATTCTCAACAGAAGCAATAATAGTACAGAAAGAACAGACTGATGTATTTTCATATTGCATTGTGCCTTGGAATATGAAGTTAGTCCAGCATAATTGATTTACAAGACCCTGTGTATTCAATTCTTTTAAATTTGGGACATTTGTGAATTGCTTCTTCTGACTGCCACCAGCAGCAGCTGCACCAGAAGCTGTCACAAAGCAGGAAGGCTGTGGCTTCCCTTCTCTGCATATTCCCCTTACTGGTGTCCAAGGAGCAGAGAGAGGGGGAGAACTGCCCCTTGTGTCTGGGAGGATGAGAAAAAGACAGGAAGGGGACAGAGGAGAGAAGGACTGAGGGATGAGAAGTTTGAGTCAGAAGTGGAGGTCAGTCTGTTCCTGATGATGGTACAAGGAGGGAAGGAGAGCTGATATGGCCGCAGGAAAGTTGGATCAGAAGCAAAACTGGCTGAAAATTACCTGATCCTCACTGCCTAAAAGCTTGGATATAGCCTATTCTCCCAGTTTCAGTGTTATGCTGTGATCAGCGAGTAACTCAAACTCAGTAGCAAAGTGGGTGCTTCATCTCTCTTACTAAAGAACAGGAGCTAGATGGTGACAGCTGGCTAATCTTAGTAATCAACAATTGCAAGAGGTCTTTGCTGTGTAACTTAACCATCAAAGCTCAGGGGTATATGGTGTGAATCCCACAATATTCAATTTATGGATTTGGACAGGAGTGGGTTTGCTTTTTTATATGTAGGTGGATAAAAATATTTCATATGAACTTCATTCAGTGAAGTGCAACAACCTCTATGTTCCTTGAACATCCAATACTCAGATACTGACAAGTTAAAAAATCAAGACTGGCTTCCTAGAAAGTATACATTTTCTTATATAATACTAAGATACTTACAAAAACACAACTTGAAAAAGAAACCTTAGGTTTCTTCTATATAACTGGATAAATAACTGTTAAAACAGCGTAAATTCAAGTGAGAGATGTGTTGTCTTGAAAAGGAATTTTCAATTGTGATTGTTTTCTACAGGCATTAGCAGATTAAACCGATGTTGCAGAATTATCAGGACAGTAGCAACTGCAGGTATTTTCCACCTCCACTGGGAGCAGAGATTTGTGTGTTAAGGGGACAAAAGTTTCTGGCTAGGCAAGAAAAGACAAGCAGCTGCTATGCCTCCTTCAGACGTACTGCATTGCTAAGATCAAGATGGATATTGGAGGATGGTGGAAGTGGGGATGCCTGGTACAGCTATTCGGCTGTGAAAAAGTCAAAGGGATTTGAGAGATGGAGCAGGAGGGATCAACTTCATAATTTTGGCCCCTAGTCTCACCTCTTTTTCTCTACGTGTTCCTGTGCAAAGAAGGATTGGAAATGTTTTCAGAAGTGCCATAAACAATGCAAAAAGCATGCACTTAAACGGACAGTTACTTCTAAAACATAYGCTGTTATTTGTAGTACCATTAAAATTAATTAATTTTTATGTTGTACAGATCTGCCAAGTGGCCCACATACTTACCGCTTAGAAGATCTTGCCTATACTAGAAGTGGAGACAAAGGCAATTCTGCAAACATAGGTATTTTTCTTTTTCTTGCTTTCTGAAGTGATGTGAAATTTTCACGAGTTACATATCAAGTGCTAGTCTTAATTTTTTCAAACATCACTTGATTTTTATTTTTTTATTATGCTGAAATAAAAAAGAATATGTATCAAACATGGATTTTACTAGTGAAATATCTGTAGCCTTCTGATTAGCAGCTGTTGTAATCTGAGGTACTAAGGAAAAATACTAGTGTGTCATTCTACAAAAAAAAGATTTTTAGGTTTGGAAAGTTGAGCTCCCGAAAGTTAAATGTCTTTTTAAGGTTTTTTTTTCCTTCATGTGTGTATGTTATGTAATGTTTTGGTTGTCTGATCATGCATAATATTTTCATACATTAATATTGTAACATGTATATKGCTAAAATATTGACAGTGTTAGGAAATACTAAAGTTGTTCTCGTATGTACCAGAATGTTTATATTATATTGCTAATGCAAATGGTATATTTCAGTATGCAGTCTCTTTACATTGATTGTGCTGCTTCTTGCATTGTTTAATAATTCCTTCTATTCCTTACTTCTGCATGCAACAATTGGCTCTCTTACTTGTTGGAAGATGAGAGYGTGTGGTGTTCAAAGCTCAGTATGAATTAAAGGTGCGTTTGGGATTTGATTTGCTATTAGCTGTCATGCTAAAACTGATTACTTTTGTTCATTTGTATTTAGGAATATAGTTTTCTTGTCCTTGTTTGTCAAACTGGTTTTTTTTGGGTTGAAGAATGAAGTGATGTTGATTTTTCTTTTTTTTTCTTTTTCCTTTATTTTTCCTTTTTCTTTCTCCCTGGTTGACCACTTTTGCAACGTAGCATTGCCAGGTTGTGAGTGATGCATACATAGTAGACTTCTTCAGACATAAAGACACTACTGCTTTATTAAGGAACAACAATAACAACAACAAACTTGACCTCAAATTTAAATCCACAGATAGAAAGGTCCCTGTGACACAAAACTGTTTTCCTGATCCCGATCTGGAACCTCAGCTTCATCATAAAATTTGCTGAAGCTTACAAAGCATATTTACGGCAATAAAAACGTAATCATGGTTTGTCACACGTCATAATCTCATGCAAGAGGTGGGTCAAGGACCAAACCTTCAGTCACTGATCATGCCTCATTATGGTTATTTGTGATTACTTAGATATCKAAGTCTTGCAAACCATTTAAGGGAAGAGAGCTGCCTGTTTGTTGTGATGTTGTTGTTCTTTAGATGTCTTTCAGAGGCAGGGATTGTTTGCAGCCAGAAAAAATCCAGTAATTACTTAGTGGTCACTTAGCATGTTTTTGTGTCATGCTCCACCCTACATTTCTACTGACAGAGGGAGAGCTGTCATACTGTTGTGGTTTTGATTCAGGAGCTCATTAAAGAGGATCCATATGTACAGTTTCAGTTAAGCAGAGGATTTCAAATCGGTTTTGAAAGGATAAATACAAAATGGTTTTAACAGTTCCTATTTCAACTAATGCCAGTTAATGCCTAACAGGTGTGATAGCACGGCATCCCCTCTATTATCCATACCTAAAGAAAACTTTGACTGCTCAAGCCCTGGAGAATTACTTTCAACACCTTTTTGAGCGTGAAAAACCAGAAGAAGAACTAGTAACAAGGTGAGTATCTTGCTGCCCAGTCCACAGTTATATGGTAGAAACATGATGTTRTCAGAAGTTATCTTCAAGAATATTAACATAAATGTTGCAGACTTGTGTGTATTGTCTTTGGGTTTTTTTATGTATCTTCTTTGACTTTTAAAATAACAACTTGAGTATAGTCATTGAGAAAGAACATGAGCTTGGGCCTCTCTTGAAGCTGGACAAAGGCCGAGAATCCGTTTAGTGAAGGCATTTAAATTCCCAGAATTAGCATAGTAGTGTTGGGGCTGTTCCTTTGTTTTGTTCCAGTACAGAATGTCTTTACTGACTAGAAATAGCTTCCAATGCCCTTTGAGAAATTAATCTTTCAATCAGTTTTGAACCATTTGGAAACTACAGGAGCTTTAGTGACTGAAGCTTCCCAAGCCTCGGAGTAATTGCTGAACTGAGAGTTAGCAATATGTAAAACACTACCTGAAAGACATTTGCACAGCMAGTATAGTCTGGAGCCCAAACTTACCTGATCATCCATCAGGAATGGGCCTCATGCTATCCCTGTTCCTGCAAAACATTTTAATATAAATTAATATTAAATCACTTTAGAGAAAGCATTATTTCTAGTTATTATTTCTAGTTAGTTCCATTATTATTTCTACCCCACTCTCACCTATTTTTGTGACACATACACCAAGCCAGAATTTAAAGAAAAAACATAGCTAATTTTTCATAAAGTCTCTCTCTTAAAATCTTAAAAAGAGTACATTTGAAATAGGACACTTTCACCTGATACTCATCTACAAAAGAATATCCTCTGCCAGCAGACATAACATTCTTGTTTTTGTGGTATGACTGATGCTCAGGGCCCTCCCTGTGCTTGTTGTGTTGAGGTAATGTGCTTGTAGCATGAGGCAATGGAGCTCATTCTCCTAAGGATGTCCAGTAAAACAGTCAACAGACTTTAAACCTTTTTCTGTCTTTGAAAACAAGAAAAGCTTAATACTGCCACAAACCAGTCTTCTAAAACGTCTTTTGATACAAAGTCAGTTATTCTGCAAGTATTGAGATTTTGCCAAAATCATTTATCTATTTCCATGAGTAGTGGATAAACTGTTAAGTGTCTTTTTGCATGTTCAGAGAACTTGAGTCAGAAAGGTACAGCTCAAAGCTCAGAGAAAGAGCTTGGAGTTATTTTAACCCCTGATCTTTGAATTGGAAATGCTGTTTTTTTCTTCATGAGCAGCTCAGGGCAGTACTCACCCACTGCTTTGTAAGTGCTAACAAATCTGTGTATCTAATAACTTGTGATGCTAAGAATTTTAACTGAATTCTCTCTGAAACAGAGCAGAGGGGGAAGAAATAAAAATGTCATGCCTCCTAATGATACTTCTAGAAATTGAATCACTGCCATTTCTTAATGCTATTTATGTTCATAAATAAAAGTTGAAATCTGCTCTGTCTGGATGAAGCCAAATTAATTTGATTAACTAGATTATCTGTTTGTGGGTTTGGCTTTCTTTAATGATGTGAAAATGGAGCTCTGTGAGTGAATTGGAAAGCTACTGGGGAAAAAGAATAAAACCTCTTGTGGAAATATTTAGGATTATAAGGATTATGCTCATGTGCTTCAGATTGTGTAGTTTCTTTTTAAATTGCTTGTTTATTTTTTAGTTTCAACTGTCATGAAAAAAAGAGCTGTCTTACTCTCTAATTTTCCTTCATTTCCTTTATTTAAATGGTGAGTGGTTAAAAACTGTGTAATAGTTTTGCTGTTATACACAAACCAACCATGGCTCTACCACACTACAGAACAGAATCTGTTAACCATTTGCCTTCCATGCTTTTTCACTAGAGGCATTAAGGTGGTCCACTAAACAGAGAAAAGGTGTAATTATTTTGATAGAGAACATTAAAAACTCATAAACTTCCATATCTTCAGGTAAAATAATAGCAAAAGATGGTCTTTCAATTCCCAGGTGATTGCTTCCCACTCTGGAGTGCTAGGTACATTCTTAACAGATCTGAGTATCTTAAGATACAGAAAAAGAAACTTTTTGTGTGGTACTAGGTTAGTTATTTAAAAAGGACAGTAAAACTGTCCTATGAGGTTTTGCTGTTTCCATCTTCTGAAGTATGGTATATGTAATGTTTTGAGAACATTCCAATGCTCAGAAGTAGAAAAACCAGYTGATATGCAATGTTTTCTCCAAGAGCTGAAGAACAAAAAATGTGGATGCTGATGCTTCTAGATGACATTTTTGTACATATATTTATTAGAGAGGAAAAATAACTATTTCTCTACAGTATATCTCCTACACAAATAACTCTTCAAGCCTATGGACTTGGTTTGTGCTTTCCTTGGATAAAAAGAATACTGTCTTCTCCTTGATTTAAATGCATTAAATAATTTTGTATCATTATTTCCATGYATTTTAATGGAAACCTTATTTCTCTGAATATTATGGACAGCACTTTAAAGGGAGTAGTTAAGCAGGCACCCTATTGTGCATAATCATAGGAATTCAGCTAGAACAGTGAATATTCCTTGTTTTACTGGTTTCTGTCACAGATACAGTATCCTTTGAAGTGTTTATTTGTTTTCTGTGTTTTTTAAAAGCAATTCTTAAAACCTTTGATTAAATTGTACAATAAGATAATTTTTTTCCTTTAGATCTCAGTTAATTAAACTTAAATTGTTTAATTACACTGAGTAAATGCCTGCCAGCATTTTGGTTAATGTATTGTTGCTGCTTAAGACTATTATGATGGTTATAGTGGTTTTTCTTCCTTTTATTGTGTTTTATTTTCTGTGTGGAAATATTTTGGATGCTCAGATGCTTCAAACGAGCCTTAAAATAGTGAAGATGCTGACCTTTATATATTATAATTTTGTAATCCTAGTTTTAGCTGGAGTATTCTACTGTAAATATTTTCTCAAAGCAAATAAAAAGAACTTGCCATTTTATAGCATTCCAAATTAAGATCTGTTGCTTATATTACATACTTCCTCTGCCAAAATTACTGCAGAGAGTGAAATGAAATTCTTCCACTCACTTSTTTCTGCTTTTATATGCTCTTCAGTTTCATTCCTGATTTGGTTTTCCTGATTGATTTTCATGACTTTTTTTTTGRGAGACGAGATACTAGCTTCTGGAATACATATTCCATCCGTCTAGSCCAGTTGTGAAATTGTTTGCTGCCTGGAAATCTTTGCCAGTTTTTCAGAGTAAAATKTATAGTGCAGTGATTTGGTAGATCTCCAGTTTTCATGTGTATGTGGTAATTTTTATTTACTTTTTTTAGAAGATTTTGTAAGGTCRTAACCTACACATCTGGTTGTGCTGTGTAGGCTGTATTATGGTATTAATAAAATACCATAATTGATTATGTTATTAAATTATGTTGATTATGGTATTAAATTTAGTAAATTAGGTAGGTAACTTACTGTGGAAATTGCTTTATTCTTCATATTTGTGTTGTCTACTAGAGCACTGGTGGATTAATCTACTTTCCTGCCTTCCCAGTGGGTTCCCCTTTAAGTGTGATAATGTAGCTAGTTTTCAAGGAAGGGCAACAGAATGCTGACACCAATTTTTTTTTCTTAATAACTAATAATAACTAATTCTTAAGTGGAGTGGGAGATTGAAAAAGTAGAAGGAACTTAAAGCTTTTTGCCTAGGAAACAGACGTGAACACTGCATGACTGCTTGCTTTCTGGAACAAGAACTCAAGTGATTGTCAGACTGCTCAGTGGGATCACCTCCTTCCATGAGAAGTTTGGGTCATACACCCAAGATAAAAGGGCAGACAGGACTGTGAACACCAGCAACAGCCATGGTTTTCACAGTGCTCAAAAGGAGCTAAAAGAGATAAACATCAGAGTGACAAAATCAGCAGTATAGGAGTACTGCAAAAAAATTCCAGCTATACAGGAGAAAGATTTGAAGGATCTTTACCAAACAGATGAAGATCAGATACGTACTGAAAGAAAAATAAGAGGTGTTGCAGCAGTCAAACATCTGGAGGTAGAGTGAGAATTGGATATCATCTTYCTGTTACTACTCATAGCTTGATGATGTTCTGATTTAAATCCTTTCTTACGGAAATAAGCAAAGCTMTCAAGTCCTTAGATTAAGAAAATATTGGAGGAAAGCAAAACCAAAGAAAACCAACAATAGAAGGAAGATGATGAAAMCCTGAAAAACTGTGCAATGAGAGACAAATGGAAATATACTGTAGACCTATTTATGGAATTTGAAACAATAGGAAACCACAGAGCCATTTGCCAAACTACTACAGAAGTTTCCAAATTGGAACTGCACCACTCAAAAGTAAGAATGGAAAAATGCTTACAGTGGCAATGGAACAGAATAATAGGTCTGTCACACTAAAATAAAACTTTATCTGAGCAAAGTACATGGCTCCAGTAACGTGTTGAATTGTAGCTCTGATTTTAATTTGCAATAAAGTTTTCTGTTGGTTGTGAGAGTGATGCAGTGACTCATAGATATTTCTCAGTAAAAAAGAGGGTGTCTTCTGATTAGCTGGCGRCACTTGTTAGCAAAAGTGAGTTCCAGGAATTGAGTGTCCTTTTCAGTATCAGAACTAGGAGCTAATAAAAGTAATTCTTTTTGCCCATTGTGTTGTCTGAGTTCATATTGGATCTTGAACCTCTGGCTTCCAAATACGGGCTTCAACTCATAGAAAAAAAAGAACTCTAAAAACAACCTTATTAGAAGTGGATGAGTTTTTAATAGAGGAGAATAATTACCTTATGGTCCAGCYTTAAAACTATTAAGGACTGTTTATTTGGAGTAAGAGGAAGGAACAAGAARGCAGGTAAGGCCTTGTGTTAATCCCATTAACTTTTAGACTTGAGTCAGCAGTGGGATGTGATCAGAAGCATGAAATTTTTGCATGCCAGCTTCTGCTTGATGTTCTGTMCAAGTGTCCCTTCCGAAATCTCCTGAGAAATAATGTGCCGTTCTTATTTTACAGATATGAGTTGCCAGGAATCCATGGATTAAATTTTGTTCTGAAGAATTCCCTTGGTGGTGGTGGCATAGCATCCCTAAGAAGTGACCCACAGGCATGTATCAAAGCAATAATTTTAATGTCGTTATCTTTCATGTGCACTGTAGACCTCCTAATTTAGCCTGTGCTTTCTATAGTTGAAATACTGATAAATAATATAAACATGAAAGGGAAAACCAGATGGATATGAGGTCTTTTGTGTTGATGATGTTATGTGAATCTGAAAGGAATTATTTTTTGTATGTGTGCAGTCTGAGTATTAAATATTTGAAACATTTAAACCTGAAGATGAGCAATGCTATGGCTACAGCACAGCACAGCTCTGCTTCCATAGGCTCGGAAGTACTTAYGTGTGCAAATAATCTCAGCTATTGTGAGCTAGTCAAGAAGACTGCTCACAAAATGAGGTGATGCTATGTATGAATCATAGTAGAATTGTAACCCAAATTGCTTTTAGCATTAAGTACAAATCAATTAAAGAAACTGTTCAATCTGTTCAGGTTGGGATGCTGGAAAACTCAAAAAACATAAACAGAATTCTCACAGGGATTATAGGAAAAATAGTCATATTAAACCATTTCTGAAATTAGACAGTCAAATAAAATGTTGATTTGGTTCTTTTTCTTACAGGGTAAAGCACTTGGACAGATGCTGTTGGATTTCCAGATTAAAAATGTTCCTGATTTAAAATCACTGATAGAATAACAGGTGTTTAATATATATGCTTTTAACACTGAGTGGTATAAAAACATGGTATAAACAAGAACTGGCTTCTTGAATGAGATTTTTTTTTTTTAGGATTAAAGAGTAGAAATTTGACAGTTATTTCTCAGAGGTTAGCTATATGGCTCAGATTAGCAAATGTTTTAAATAATAGCAGACTAATAACTTTGTCTGTGCCTTGGTAACATTTCCTGTCTAGATAATACAGTGGATGAAGAATTAATTTATTTCCTGAAAAATAGAATTAATTAAATTGCAATGTGACATTTAATTATGAGACAAGATAATCTTTGTTYCAAGATGGAAATTACCTCCTGTTCGTCCGTCTCTCTTTTTCTTCTCTGTCTTTATTTGAAAATMGAATGGACTGCTCTCCTGCCAGCCATGTCTGTCCTGTGCAGTGAGTGAGGCTGGGTAAGCTGCTCTGCACTGCTGTGAAGTCAGCGCTGTCTGGTACTAGGGAACAGTTTTCCCTGCTGGGCAATAAAGAAAAAGTAATAATTGGTACTGTTATACAGTGACTGGTTGTAAATGCTGACCTTTGGTGGTGATCCACCAAACTTCCAGCACTTTGTCTGGTTAGTGACAGAYTTTATTACTACATTTACCAATATCTTTTACTTATTAATCCTTCACTTGAAAGCACTGAGTAGTAGTAAATTGCAGATCTTAWAATGTGGTAATAAATTTGAAGATGAGGAAGGGAATAGTCTGCCTGCTCACTCCTTGTGATGGTGCAGTCCTGGCTGGGATGARGTGGGGCTGGGTGGTAGAGGGATACCTGGTTTTGTTCCAGGGCTGTTAAATCCTTGATTTGTGCAGCTGTCATGCATGGATTAAGTTCATTGGACTGTCATCTGCATTGCCCTTCCCACAGAAAGGTATCTTCTGCTGTGAAATGAAATTGTGTTGAATGCAGTGTACTCTTTCTGCTGACTCTCAGTTACCGTCTCCCTATATCCCTTCCTTCCCAAAATGACTAGCATGTTCAAATGGTGATACTTCTGAACCTCCTGACCTCATTAAGAGGAGATCTGGAAATCTATATCTTATTTCCTGGGACAATAGAAGGTGGAAATTCTGTATTTTCTCTGCAGAAGCCATAAAAGTATTACTCCACATGTTCAGGCATTTTATATTCAGATATTAATCTTTTTGTTTATTTTAGTGAGAGTGTATTATTTGTTTAGTGCTGACAGAATAAGGCATTACTAATGCCAGACAAAACTATGAAAGTAAGTGTTATTTTAAGTCACCAGACCTATCCGTTAGYTGTTGCTAAATTTCCAGTGCTATCCATCACTTACTAATTTTCTAGACTCTTGCTTGCTAATGAGTACTATGCATTGAATTGTTCCAACCTTTTCTGTGGTTTTGTTCATTTGAATTGAGGTATCATARGTGAATGCTTTATCTATCTAATCCCATTATTACCTGAGCAAGTCACAGATACTGTCCATGTATACATGTACGATTCAGTCAGGTTGTAAAAAATAAGTCATTACTTCATTGCAGAAAAACAGCCAAGTTAATAACTTCAGAGGGAAAACGGCATGCAGGTTTTATTATGTTTACAGTCATTGTTGAAAACTTCATAATAATTTGGAAGTCTATTGAGAGGAAGTAAAAAAAGTGATAGACCTCAGTAGCAAACCTACAATGATAAAAAGGCTACAGTAAATATTGGCAGTTCACTCAATATGCTTCCTAAGTGACTCTGGAAATGTGTATGCAATAAGTTTCTGAATAAAAGTGAACATTTATACAGTATAAATTTGTTTTAGTCATTTATGTTGTTTCTTCTACTGGAAGAGAGTGATACTTAGTTCARAAGTTCTTTCTTTGGAGTTCTTTCACTTGCCTGCAATTCCATGCACTGTCTTGCTGGTTCTCTTTGTTCATATTTTGTCTATTCTGTCCCTGGTCTGTTAAATACAAACACAAAAAAGTAAACGATACAGTGTTCTGGAGAGCTGGTTACTTACAGCTCTACAATGGAAGCTGTAATTTGCTGAAAAGAATGGTACAGTGTTCAAATGGATTGGATATGGGAATACGGGGGTATTATTTTTTATTTCTGGAATAACCCTTTTGGATGCTATGAAACCATTCTTCACAAACATGTTTTCTGTCCGTTATTTCTTTCAGCACACCAGTTCAAACTAATGGCATTGTTTTTCAGATACTTTTTGTGCAAACTACACTCTTCAAAAATCCCTATCCAAAGATTTTATTCTCCAGAACACCTTAATGTGTTTTGAATTCATACAAGTTTGTTTGTTTCAGCAGTCCCAGATGATCTGAATGATGCATTTGTTTTTTAATCTGCAGTAAAGCTTCAGTAATTGAGAAAGGTTTGGTAAAATATAAATTGTACACAAAGGTGAGCATGTATGCAGTAAGCATTGGTTCAACTTCAGTCAGTTAAAAAAATCATCTTGCCTGCTTGTTAAACCAGGTCTGTTTCTCATATAGGCAAGAACTTCCAATTCCCCTCCTTTCCTGCCTTTTCCCTACTGTGTTAGCTGTGAGAGCAGGATGGAAATAGTAATGTCTAGTGCATAAAATAAGGTTCCTTCTAATACAGGAGTTTCAGTGTAATGGAAACTGGCTTACACCTCTTACTGAAGTTTTTATACTGTGGCTCATCTGTACTACTAAACAAAGGCTGCATTCTTACCTCTCACAGCTTTCTCACTGCATCTCAGCTTAACTCTCAGAAATAAAGCATGGGTTTTATCATTAAATTGTTCCACAACTGTTAACAGTCCAAACAAATACTTCCTCAGCATTTTTGAGTTTAACATTCCAAAGTGATTTTCCCACTTAAATTTGTGTAGTAAAGGTACAAAAGCTATTATACAAAAGTCACCCAAGAGGATGTGCCAGTGTTTGATGCACAATGTATATTTTTAGTTTTGCCATCTCCAGTGGAGATGTTTTTCCACTAAAATACATGTTTTCTTCCCCCCTTCAGATGAAAAATTCTGGTACTAACCTTATGTTGTTGTTACATTGTGAAAGTTTGACAGTAATCGACAGTAATTGAAGTGTAGCCCCCTGGGTTTGAAGATAGATGTTGGGTTACAGGTTGCTTTTCAAGAATCTGAATGGTTTCATTTAGAAATTGCTTTGATGTGTTGTATTATGTGCTGTGCACACAGTAATGCTCAAACAGTTGCACGGTAGTGCAAGAAGAAGCATTACCTGGGTGGATTCCACAGACCTGTCTGCTTTGTAATGCCTTTTGGGATTGTTCACTGGCGTTTCCAGGCTAGAGAGTGAGTTGAGTGAGTGAGYTGAGTGAGTTTTAGTGAGTGGTTGGGGGGGAGGGAGAGAGGAAGCTCTTCAGTGCCTCAGGTAYGAGGAAATTACATGCAGAAATGTCACACCTTTCACCTTACTACTTAGAAACCCTCCCATGCAGTAAGACTTTGAGTCTCCTCATGGCAATTCCTGTTCTTCAGTTTCATCCTGGTTTCCTTTCCGGATTTACTTGAAATGGACCCTGGTGATTTTGGGATTAAAGCTAACTGGCATGAAGAAAGCAAACAAAGGATGCCGCCATGTGAAAGATCCCATTGGGAAGTGTCTATCTGCTAGGGAGTTCAGCTGAATTCCTCTACCTTTGGRTGGGGAAGAAAAACTTGAACTGTAGGACTGAAGCATCTCTACCACCTRTTTCAGCAAAGACCATTCAGACACTCCCTGGACAGCTTTAGGGAAGGGGAGAGGTAGAATCTTGGGCAAGCAGTGCAGTGCAAGAATAGTGTTTATCAACAGAGAGACAGAGACARGAACCTTTTCCAGCCAGGACTTTTTGTGGAGTCTTTGACAACCTGTGGCACAGTGCTCCAGCTCTGGACCAGCTGCTGTGACCATCACCAAATGGGTGATGAGACCCTTTATCAGGATGAGGTGTTCTAATTCTTTTTTCCTCATCAATTAAAAACTGCACTAGTTAAAAACAAGAAGTTCCTCCTCCCCCTTCCCCCCTTTTTTCCTTGCTAGTAGGAAAAGCTTCAAACCTTCCAAATATATTTAAACATCTGGATTTGAAAATATGCTGGTTTAATTACATAATCATGTGTGGCTGGTGGCTAATCCACAGGGTTCCTGTATCARCATCATAAGCTGCATCTACAAAGTATTTTCTCTTTTGTAAGTGATGTGATTTGAAGTAGGGGACTTGAGAGGGGTAAGCCTCTGTTGCATAAAAATTTGGCTGAGACTCCAGAGAAAATCCCAAAGGCCTGATCACTGTTAAGTAGTGCTGGGGCTCTGGTCTGTAATCAGCAGCCAAACAAGAAGGTATGGGGGGCCCCTTTCTTTGCAGATGAAGCAAGGTGAGGATAGTCTTAGCTTCCTWGGAAGCTGCTTTCTGCTCCAAGCAGGAGGAAACAGGAAGGCACGAGCCATCGTTGTTGACAGGTAGTGAGTAACACCATCCCCTGAAATACTTTCTTTACTGAGGAAATGGGAGAACTTGCTTTTGGTTCATCAATAAGTTTTCATGTTTACAAGATCCTGAACATTGGTTCAGTGTCTGTGGTGGTAGAAGGCTCTCACCTGCTGGGTCCTTCACATCTCCTTGGCCTTCCCAATCRTACCAGAGCTGTTTGCTAAGGGAAAGAAAAGGGATAGTAAACATTTTCTCTTTTTTGGTGGTGTGACTAAAGGGCTGCTACAGCTCTGGGGTGGTCTTGAGATCTCATTCGTGTTTCACAGCGTTCAGAGTGACTGAGGAGAGAAAAATAACCCACTGTTTCAATGCCGTTTGCCCGTGGAGAGCTGCCAAGCTGTTACACACCAGYGCTCCTCTTCACGCTTCCCCGTTTTGTATTTGGCATCCTGAGGTTGCGGTGTTTGCCCGAGTTTAAAGGAAGATGCTCCAGCAAACTTCTCCAGCATTCTTACACGCATATCCCTTCTTCCCTCCCCCTCCCTTCGCCCGTCCCGCGTTTCTCAGAGAGGCGAAAGCTCCCCGCTGCAGCCGGAGCGACTGCGGCACGAACAAAGATCCATGGCAGCGGGCCGGGGCACGGCGGCGGCGGGGACTCGGTGGAAGGCTGCAGCCACGGCCGCCTTCCCTGCCACTCTCCGCGCCTGTCATCTTCCAGGTAAGATGAATGTCTGTCCCATCCATCATCCCGTCATCCCCGAGGGGGCGGGAACCTGCTTGGTTACTGAAACTTCCGAGTTTCCATCGGGGCGGCATTGTTGATCTGACAGGGCTGCTCTTTTGTGGGCTCCGTTGCCAGGATTTAGCCATTTGCATAATGGATTAGCATGAAACTGAACGCACGGGAATGCCGCTCCGCCGATTCCCACTCTTTCTTAGCTGGCGGACCTTGGGGTGAATKAATTTATAAATGTGACTTCCCGCTCTCCCTCGAAGACCTGTTTTTCAGGGAAGGCAGACGCTCCCTCCCCTGTCCTGCCGCCGTGCCAGCACCGCAGCATCCCGCGCRGCCACCCCCCGATCCCATCCGATCCGAGCGTCGCTTGTCCCCCGCCACCGCCGGGGCGGGCACCCGGAGCCCCTGAGGTCCCGCTGGCGGGGGAAGGTGCATCAAGCGGCTGTGGCACCGGGAGCCCTTCGCGGCTCTCCCCGGGGCGGTGAAGGCTCTGCATGCACTTTTCCGTGCACTTCTACCTGGGCAGCGCCGGCGGTAGACGGGGCGGAGCTGCGGGTGGCTCCAGGCTCCGGGCACCGCGCCATCCCGAGRGCCGAGCCGCCGCCGCCGGACCGAGGGACGCCGGGCCGGCTCAGGGTGCCCGCCGCGCCCCCCAATAAAGCCCGGCCGGTCCTCGGGGCGGGCGCTCCCCGCACGCCCCTCACCCGGTGGGCCGGCCCGGGTGCCCGCCCCGCCCCGCCGGTAGCCTAGAAAAGCGGTGCCGGGGGTAGCAAACTGCTCGAAGGCACCGAGGGTTTCCCCCGTCGACCATGAAGAACCCGGTGCCGCAGGCGGCCTCGCTGCTGCTGGAGAAGCTGATGCTCCTCGTCCACATCCGGCCCTTGCCCGCGGGCTCCAGCGGGGAGACGCCACCGCCTGCCCCCGGCTACTACGACACCAGCTGCTTCAAGCGAGGAGACCTGCTGGAGGTGCCCCGCACCCTCTTCATCCACTTCGGCATTTACCTGGGCGAGAACCGCGTCGCCCACTTGATGCCCGACATCCTGCCCGTCATCACCAGCGACCGTCGGCAGATCCAGCAGGTGGTGACCAACAAGCGGCTCATCCTGGGCGTCATCGCCAGGACGGCCAGCGTCCGGGTGGACACGGTGGAGGACTTCGCCTACGGYGGCAGCATCCTGGTCAACCACATGGACCGGCTCTTCGAGGACCAGGTGCTGGGCAGCGAGGAGGCGGCCCGCAGGGCGGAGAAGCTGGTGGGCACCACGGCCTACAGCCTGCTCTGGAACAACTGCGAGCACTTCGTCACCTACTGCCGATACGGAGCCCCGGTCAGCTTCCAGACCGACAAGGTACGGCCCGGCCCGCGGGGCGGCGCTGCCCTTGCCCCGGTGACCCCGGCTGGGTCAGCCACCGCCGCTGCCCCGGGCGGGGGTGCCGGTACCGCCCGCCGCTGCTGCCGCTCTTCCCGCAGCGGGCAGTGCCGCCGGCACGGAGCTGCTCGGGGCGGCCTGACCTCAGCTGCCTTCAAGCGGCGAGGAAAGCGAAGCTGAATTCGTAGAACAATTAATACGCTTCTGAAATGCTCTGATGCTACAGATTCCTGCCGGAGCCACAGCCAGTACCGGGGCTGATGCTGGGGKTGATGCGGTCCCAGCCCGGCTCTTTCCTCGTCTACTCCGGGGAGCCTGTGTGAGAGTTGGGGCAGCAACTGTTGCTGTGTCCCGAGAGAGTGGGTATGGCCAGCTCTACAGCCAAAGCTTTCCTCTTTAAATCTCATCTTTTATTTTATTTTTTTTTTTTTTTTCAGTTCTGTGAGACTGTGAAGATGATTATTCGGGATCAGAGAAGCGTGCTCGCATCAGTGCTTGTGGGACTAGCGTCAATAGTCTGCCTCGGATGGGCACCCTCCACCACGCTCCCCACCATCCTGATTCCCTTCTTTCTGTGGATGGCTGGCTAACAGCCTTCCTGGAGGCTTCCATCTAGTGTCTGTATATAGGATGTATACTACTGTATTTATGAAAGCAAAAATTACTCACTGGCATCATGTAAAGTTTCTTAATTTTGTGCACCACTTTAAAATRCAGCTTTGTCTAGAACACAGTGCACAATGCATAGCTTACTGTGTAAGCCAAATAACAGATTTCCTGAAAATCTTGGTATATTTTAACACATCTTTAAATCATGAAAAAGTAGGGTTGCGATGCAGTTCTGCTCCTTATCTTTAGCCAAAAATGATTCTGATAACATCCTTCATGTTCTTCAGTTCCTTAGCTGCATAACTGGGTGCCATAACTATTAATAAAAAGAGCTGATGGAGTTCCACAAAGTGAGGGAAATGGAGAACAAACTGCTTACCTCTTCCTTTTATAGATACAGTGTATATTCAGAAATTACTATCTCCATTCCTAAAATACTTCKTGGTGGAAATGTAAGTAAATTGACTCTTTTGAGAGTGAAGAAGAAAAACCAACCCTGGTCTGGGTGCTGCAGGGGCACATCTGGCCAGCCTGGGTAAAGTCATTTCCCTTCTGGGATGTTCAGAAATCTGTCATTTGTATTAATTGTGTAAACACTTGCTACTGTATTGAACAAGTTTTTAATTGGATTAGTATAAGGAGAGATGGTAATCCCTCACCAATTTCTTTGCCAGTGATAGTGGTTWATATGGCTAATATAAATGGCTACAGAGGGATTAAGGAGCTATAGGACAAAATTAGTTATGACAACTAGTGATGTACAGATGTTGGACATTTCCAGCATTCCAGGACACGTGGCAGGGAGGAGGACAGACACCAATTTAGTCCTACCGTTCCTCAGCAGTGGAACCTGTGTCRGTGCTGTAAAATATCAGGGATCATTGGAATGGTTTCTGTGGTGGCTGTACTGTGATTTTGGATATTGCCTTAAAGCACTTTTTCAGTGAAAGACAATATGTCATCCTGTACTTACCTCTTGTGAGGTAATATTCACTTTCAAAAGAGCAGCTGGTGCTAGAAATGTTTTATCTCCAATGCTGAGGCCTTTCAGTTTATCAAGAATGTGTAAAGTTGGATTTGAAATCAAGTTCATGTAGACAATTGTTGAAGTGCTRAAAACCTTTGCTATTTTTTTTCTTAGCAAGGTCTTTTATGTATGCAGAGAAATTGTTCAGCTCATTGAATGCCTTGTGTGCATGCATGTACTGTTCACAAGCTGTGCTTGCCTTCCTTTCTAGTCAAAGGCCAATATGATGGTGTCTTCACCAAGGGCTCAACCTCAGATTGCCTTCTGTTAGTGGTATGCAGTGTCCTGCCATCAGCTGTTACTGAAATGGCCACTTGCCCATTTTTAGAGAGACTCCTTTTAACTGTGCTTTAAACCCTCTCCTCCTTCCCCTAGACCTTCAAGATGCTCAAAGATTGGATTTTTAGAACTGTGATACTTGAYTACTCTTTAATCATCTTCTGGCTGCTCCACCATAACTGACAAAGAATGTAAAGACTGGGGTGAAATTCCAGCTCATAGGAAAGAGCAGCATGACTCCTTGCTGGCATCAAATAAGAGGGGATTTCAGCCCAGCTTTCACTTCATGTTCAGTCGACAGCCCAGCTCCAAGCAGCTGGATATCAATTACTGCTGGATCCTTGTAAACAACTTCTGTTCTGCTTTGAAAGATTGCAATGCTCAGTGTAACTGTTTCTGGTAAACTTTTGAAATTAAGGTGTTTTTTAATTAACATGAATTACTTTTTCATAGTGTATGCATTAGTAATATTTACATAAACTCTAGTGTTTTTTTTTTACTTGCTGTGAATAAGGCATGTGATGTAGTCATTACTGTAATTATATAAATAGATTTTATTCATTTCAAAATGTCTACTGGCCTCTTGAAATTGAGTGTAGTGCTATAGCATTACTCTAAGATATCCCAGTAGAGCACTGAACAGGCCATTAACATACAGTTACATGGTGTCTGATTACAGGTGGGCTTTTCTTTTACCCTTTATTTAATTAGGATTTATAAGAATTCCAGTAATTCTTACAACTCACATATACAATAAACAACGGGGTCATGACCAGTATCCAAATCACAAGTGGGACTGTTGAAAGGCAGAGAAATATTCCTGCTCTAGTTTCAGTGTCAAAGGACCTGTGCTCCTGTACTGCTAATGCTGTTGAGCAAAAAGCATCCAGATTCACTAAATTGGGATTTTCATAGGTGTCTTCAAAAGAAATGAAAACAGTTTCTTGCAGGCTTTCAGATGTATTAGTAGAGAATTTTCCTTTAGCATTTTAAGTTTTAAACTGATGAAACGSTATGAAATGGTCTAGAATGTCTTGCTGTATCCTTTCATCAAAGACAAGTAATGATGTGGGCATAGGAACAGAAATTCAGCTGTATGTTTATGCATTTTTCCTACCAACTATAATTCTAGCAAAGATCTGGAAATTTTGTTGAAGTCAGGCATGAGTCAAATCAGTCATACTCTGAGGAGAAAAACAAGMCTAGCAGGCATGAATTTTCCTGTTCAGCTCAGCGAATGGTGTTTGTGCTCTGAAATATTTTGGTAAATGTCAGTGCCGACTTTTTTTTCTGTAATTACTTGAGTAAAAATAAGCACTTGACCTAGCTGGAGCATTGCATTTCAGACTTGAGCTCAACTGTGATGTCACTGAAATGAAGGAGGTAGTTATAATAAGAMAAACACAGAAAACTGTGGAGCAGTTCAGCTGTTGGGGAAATGTGTGTGCTTAGAAGTGAAATTGTTCATCGGTAACTGTAAGTGATGGTGATGGGGAGTGTAAATCTAGAGCCACAGCTCATTTTAGTGGGGGCTGTTTTGAAAAGCTGTGTGGTTAAACCAGAAAACGTAATAAGGGAGTATAACCATCACCCCTGTGCCGCTGGAAAAGGTTAGTGAAGACACCAAGTTTAAAGGATTTCTTTCCAAGGAAAACAAAAATAAAATGAACAAGGCTCAAAATGTTTTTACAAAACCCATTTAAAAGAAATGAAAAAAAAGGTAAGTTACTAAATGAAAACATTAGAACAGTGTGCTTTCTGGTTTTCTGTTTGCATTTATTTTAGCTTAGAACATAAATGATTACTCATTTTGTGGTKAACAGTCATCTGCTGCTAGATTTTACTTTGCATCCTCCTGTGCTGAAGGAGAATGCTTCATATAAATACCATTGAAACTTTTAATGAAAATAAAATTATAGCAATACTTGTTAAAGTCTGAAGAGATGGGCAAGAGGGAATTAAACTTGTGTGTGACTTGACATCATCCAGACAGGTTTTAGAACGCAAACTGCAGCAACAAGAAACTTTAGAACTGTGATCTCTAGAAATTACATGGTGCTCTATTACTTATAGCATGTTCTCACATTAAATAAAGCACCACACACACCACTGGATGATACAGAACATGTTGGACAGTCATTCGTTAGCATCTCCTTTATCTATTGTAACTAAAAAAGTTCTCGGGTGACTTGGAGCCATTTCCTCATGCTTTGTAATAGGTTTTGACCTGATTCATCTGAATACCTAACTGTCATGAATGAGTTTCTAATGGGAAGTGAAGATAGAAAAGCTTGGTAGTTTTGAGGCTCTTTGCCGTAGTGCATTCCAGTTTCTTGTCAGCCTTACAAAAATATTTCAGTGCATTGTGCTGGTAGAATAAAYCATCTCTGCTACTGTAGGAATAGAACACTAAAAGTATTTGAAGGCTCTTTTTGGCATCATTTCTTTGAAAAAATTATTCTGTTGTGTTTTGTTATGTAGTTTCACTTCTGAAGTCAAGAGAACATTTAGGATATGGTCCTGACTGCTCGAGACTGTGGGAGAAGGGAGGCAATGAGGAGATCTTTAGGAGGCTTAAATCAGAATTATATTGATTGCACAACCATAGTTCTGCCTGTCATAAAACTGCGGATTTGGATTTACTGTTTCTGCGTCTCACAAGGTAGAAAACTTTCTGTAAGACGTTCTGTAGCTTTTTAATGTTTTCCCTGTTTTATAAATAAATAAATGGAGCAGCACATTTAGCCCTTGGGGGAGGTGGCTGTTTCAGTTCAGCACCATGCTATCCCAGCTGTGTCTCTTGGAGCCTGAACAGAGAGCRTTTCATGACCCTGTCCTGTATTGCTGTCATGCCTGCTCACCTGAAGCAAGAGATCTGAATCATGTAGATACACTCCAGCCTCTTTAAATTCCATCCCCAGCCTCATTTTATTCATGGGTGACTTCATACAGCTTCCAGCTCTGACAGTATCTCAGAAGTCCCTTCCAAAGTAACTCATTCCTTCTAAACTTTGGAAGAGGAGCCTGAAGGTCTCACTTAGGGATGCAAATCATCTTGGACTGTCAAGTGTGTAAGGTTGCAGTGCCCTGAACTATTCCTGAAGATGTAGCCTGTGATATCCACAATCATGTTACCACATCCCATTCCTCAGCTTTTCATCAACCTTGGGACACAGACAAACCTCWGCTCCTCTGAAAATCCAAATGTGTAATAAGCTAGGACATGGCCTTGACAAATAGGTAAAAATAGCATTTCTTCATCCAGTACCTCAGCCATTTGTCAAGGATGATTGCATGGTARAGACAGCTGTTTGTACTCTTTTAGTTATTTCTCCTAATTTCTGGCAGAAAGTAGGTTTGGTCRCACTGTGTGGAAGAAATAACCACTCCACTGCACAAGGAACTATTTTAGAATGACAATTTCATCATGCATTGACAGACAGGGTGTAGGCTGGGAATTAGGTCTTTTCAAAAATTTGCCTGGAGAAAGCAGTAATTCTGCTTGGCTGATGAACTGAAATTCCAGCAAGGAACWGAGCATTTCTATTTCTGATGTCTTTGGGCAATTCCAGTAACTAATACTGTTAAAGCATTGAGAACTGCACAGGCAGTACAGCTGATGCATAGTCATGAAACATGTTTCAAAATKATAATGAGGTTTTTATGACTTGCAAAGAGACTTTTACTAGCAAGCTGAAAATATCCACCCAAACCAGTTATAGAAGTCACGTTTCCTCAGTAATTTTCTASTTTGCATTTTTCATTTTGGGGAATGTTTGCATTAAAAGCTCTCTAGCAGACAGTGTTTAATCCTGCAATTAAATACAAATCTGTGCTTGCAACAACAGTCTGTTCTTATGGGAAAGACAGTGGATTTGTGACATTATTGTGAGCTCTGTGTGTATTAACTGAGCAGGAAGGGAACATGGGGTGTGAGCAAGATATCTATTTATACAAAAAAATTGACCCTAATTGAAAAAAAAAAGTAAGAGAAGTTCCTTAATAAAAAGTTGTTTAATTAGGCCTGCACAGTTAAAATTTATACCATTAGATCTATAATTAAGTCGCAATCCAGGCTTCTTTATTCCAGTAGCATCACTGGGTTATGTTTCTTTCAGCTAAAACCACCAGGAGCTTTGTTACTGTCTTCACAGAGAGCAAAATTAAATATGAAATAATGCCACCAATTCCCTGACTTTTCTAATGTCTTGTACCTGTGAAAATKTAATAATTATGTTCAGAAACCAATCCCCTGTAAAAAGGAACTTTACACAGAATTATGATTCAAAGAATCCTACAGGTCAAAAATTCTGCAGATTTTTTTTTCCTTGTAGTTTTTCCARTCATTTCAGGCAGCTGTCTACAGATGGTTTTGCATTGGCACCATTGTATCTACCAAGTTTTTTGTTGATCTAAGCAATATACCCTTCAGCTGGCTTCTAAGATTTTTTTTCTGTGAACAAAGCTACTCCCATTATTATTTAGAAAAACTGGATTGTGAATGCAGAGCTTCAGCAAGACAACCAGACACTGTTAACAACTTTACTACYTTTGAGCATCTTGAGCTTATAGATGAGGGCCAAATTTTTGGGGAATAAGGAATGACCTTGGCAATATCTGAAAATCAGTATAGCCAAGTATCATTCTCCACCAATGAGCAACAGTGAGCACTTGGGGACAGGGTACAGGTACAGATGGATTCTTGATATGTTGTCAAAAGTTTACAATTCACAAACCTCCAGCTTTAAAGCTTGCATTTATTTGATCATGTTTAATCCTCTTACCCTGTGTGAACTTGTCTTGCTCTTTTTTTAGCCKATCAGCCTCACCTTCAAAAGGCTCTATGGCAAGATAAATTATGACATATGAAAAAGCACTTTAAAAAAATTGTTTCCCTTACATTAGCTGTTCCTTCCTCTCTTTTACTATAGGGAACAATGAATAATCATTTGCTTTATTTTTTTCACTTACAGTCTTACAGCTCAGATATTCCTGAAAATCACTGTTTTTGTTGTTTCCACATTTTGGGAAACAGCTCATTTGTACCATCTTTCTAGTACCATGGCTGCCCTCCAAACATTACACTTCTTAGTCCAACAGTATCATCCTGGATATTTAGAGMTGAACAAACCCATCTTTCAGTTGTTACTTGGAATTTACTCATCTATGTTAAAACATCTTTTATTGTATCCTCATTTTAGGACTAATGTGAGGCTCTGTTCCTTTTAAAAAAAAAGAACTATCTTACTATGGAAACTTTTTTGTTGAGCATTGCTACAACTTTTTTTTCCYCTATAGCCTAATTCCTCAGAAGACCCTTTCTTTATCACCTGCCARTTCTCTTTCCAGCAAATGCCTGGCTGTTAATATATTTTAACAAGCCTTTAAAAAAATTATTACTAGCTTTTATGTTAGCAAGGTGATCCTCTGAATCTATTTTAACCTGAGTCCTCGGGGCTTTCTATGTAATTAGCTTGTGTACCTTGATTGGATAAGAGACTTTTGGAAGGGTGGCTCTTGTAGAACTATTAGAGAGCATCCAAAGAAGGGCCAGAAGATGGTGAAGGGTCTGGAGGGGARCTCRTATGAGGAGCAGCTCAGGGCACTTAGTTTGGCCTAGAGAAGAGTGTGAGGGGAAWCCTCTGGGATCCACAGCTTCCTCATGAGGGGAAGAGGAGGGACAGACACTGATCCCTTCCCTGTGGTGACCAGTGACTGGACCTGAGGGAATGGCTGGGTCAGGAGATGTTTAGGTTGGACATTAGGAAAAGGTTCTTCACCCAGAGGGTGGCTGGGCACCTGGGGAACAGGCTCCCCAGGGAAGTGGTTGTGTGGGCTGTCAGGCCCATGGTGTGACCCCGGGGGTTCACTGTGCCGGGCCAGGAGCTGGAGTCAGTGATCCATGTGTGTCCCTTCCAGCTGAGGATACTCCACGATTCAGCTCATGTCCTCCAGGGCCAGAGGTGCAGCGAGGCAGGCAGCATCTCCCCAGCGTCCAGTGTGGAGACGAGCATCGGAAAATCCCAAATCGATCACCACCAACTCGACAGGGTGTGAAGAGAGGTGCAGCATCACCCGGCTGCCGGGAAAAGAGGAGCGGAGCTCCTTCCCTTTAAAGATAACATACTCCCACCTAGTGGCTCTGTCACAGTGAGGAAAATGCACCGTCTCCAGCAAAATGGGAAGTTAACTGTGGAACTCGCATTTAAAGAATGAGTAAGTCAGATATTTATTAAGTCGATGTAACTGCTCGGTAGATCTAGAAATTCCGTATTATGTTTTTTTCTACAATCAATATTTTGTACCCATAAATGCTCATTTCATCAATATTAAATCTCGTAATTATRTAATTAGAAAAATATTCCAACTATTCAAGAAAGCTGAACAAGAACAAACTGCACCTTTCAAGAAAAAAGACCCTTTAGGCACTAGCATGCCTTGTTAGGAGGATCCTAATAAACAAGCATTTCAGCGCTTGATAAAATGAAACCCAAAATAAAATGGACTGATTGACTGAAATGAAGTCTTTCCAGACAGCTTGCTATAATTAGATTTACAATCATATTATGTCTAGGTTTTCTACAGAGACCTTTGTCTAAACTTCAAAGGGTGCCTGCTTCCTTTTAAAGTATTTCTACTACCTACATATCAAACCTGTCAGTGTGGAGAAACACTACATACCCTCTTTTCCTGCTCCAGGCCATAGTAAAATTCACACTGACAAAAAAAAGCTAATGATTCTATTAAAGTATATTACAACTGTAGAAATAGCCCTCTCCAGGAATATATATGCTGGGGCTTGCTAGCATTCCAATAAAACAGAACTTAAATATCAAGGACTTCTGTGTTACAACTACCTAAAATAACTTAGAGGAAAAGCACTGTCTGGTGCAGTGCTATAAAATAAAATGTGTGCGAAAAAGACCTCTTTCACATTTTCAAATCTAGCCAAAGGATCTATGTCATAATCTTGGCAAGACTCTGCCCTCATTCCTCATCCATCAGATTTGGGGGAGTTTCAACCAGACGTTAGTGAGGAAACTAACTCACTGTTAATATGAACTGTATAAAGCTTTGGGGCAAACAGTATATTATTTGAAATTTAAAGTAATTTTCTAACCAGAATTGGTGTCAAATGCTTTTTGGTAAATTATGCTGCAATTCTTGAAAAATAATCTTAAAATAAGTTTCTGTTTATCAGGTTTGTAAGTTAAACAGCTATGTCCTAAGCTACTGATTCAATAGAGCAATTAAAAAAAAAAGCTGTGATAAATAATAAAACATGTTTTGAATCTGTTTTTTTTTTCCCCATCCTTTTGTAAAAGTTCATTAAAAATAAGAGAATAAAACTTTCAGGTGTGTAAAATGTCTTCTGGAGACCTCAAGTAACCCAATATAGTTCWTAAATGAATAAAAAAATTTGCATTCCCCTGTAAATAATGTTCTTATTGGAAAAAAAAAAATCCAAATATTCCGCTCAGACTTCATTATGAGTCACAGCAAAATCCAAGAAAAATACAGGTTATAAACAGTGGTTCTTAGTAAAGCCTAATTACACTGAACAGTCAGATCGTCAAARAAAAGCAGCTATCACCTGTGAGCAAGGGTGTACTGAGAACTCTGATACCCAATTAGCACATGGGGAACAAAGGAAGAAAAGGMTCATTAATTTCTTTTAGAAAGGCAGGGGTCAGCGAGAAAACCAAATGAGTCTCAAGTTCCTGTGTTCAGCTTTGATGTTTAATAAGAGATAATAAACACTGAATACTTCTTGGTTACTTTTATATTCT